AAGACTTGGTAAAAAGAAGTGTTTTTTAATAAAACCAGTTTGTAATCTTGACTTTCAGACAGTAGTTTCTGAGAATTTTTATCCAAGAATCTTTTTGTATGTATGAGTAAGGGTCAATTTGACCCGGTTATATCGTAGCTATAACTAGGGGGAAGGAGAAAGTTGACAAATGGGTTATTAATTCAGTGATCAGGAGATCAGAGTTTGTGCAGTACATTCTTCTTTGCCAGCAAATAAGCCTGTCTGCTGAGAGCTACAAAATGACAAATGTGGAGGTGTCTTTCCAGTGCACAGTTTAGGATGTAGAGTTTTCTTGCTTTTGCATTGCACTGCTCTATCGTGGTATGTTCTTTGTAATGCCTACCTTGTATGTGGAAGAGCTGAATTTATGAGTTGTGCTGGTTCTTTTTTTTTTTTTTTTTTCTTTGTTTGCACATAAATCTCTTAATTTAATGGTAGATAATTGTCTGAAGAGGCAGAAGAGTAAACATCATAATGTTGCAAGTTACTAGAAGTTACTAGGTAAGTTATATGCACATTGCTTTACAGATAATATATTCTACTTTAATGCAACTATTTTTGCATAAGAATCAGACATTGTCAGCGCTCTAAGACAGTATATTGCATATTCTGTTTGAAGAATAAGACCTTATCTTTCTTTGTATAATGGGCTGTAGGAATAGAAAGGCTCGCATCACGTTAAAGGGTTTTTTTTCCTGTTGGGTAACCTTATTTAAGCTGTAAGGAAATAGTTATTTGACAAACCTCTTCCAAAAACAGCCTGTATATGTTGCCGCAGTCATGCCAATTGAATAAGTGTTTCTTCCTACAGTGGAGAGACAGAATTGACCAGTGCCAAGTAGATAGAAGTACTTTGTCAACAAATGCAGGCTGCATAACAAATAACTTTAACTTACCTAATTTTACATCAGTAAAATTAGTGTAATTAGCTCTAGTGTAAAAAAGTACTACCTAGGTTTAAGAAAAAACAAGTACAAAAAAGTAGTGTCAAAGTTTTTTGTAAACTTCAATGGAATTCTATTCTCTGGAGATTTTTTATCTACCAGGGCAAAAGCTGTGTCTGATTTGCTTGTTACCTATAAATGCTCACATTCCTGTTATGTCTGGCATAACCAGGAATAAAATCAGCTGTTGTGACTCCATAACCAGTACCTTAAGTACAACACTGACCTTCTTCTACTAGCAGGATATCTCACTGTCACGTATTATAAAGCATTGGAGCTTCTAATGCTTACCAAGGGCTTTTCAATTCTTACCCAGTCAATTTAGTTATGCTTTCTTTAGTAGCAAGAAGTAGAAATGGTTTATGTTTTGCAGTATCTGATAAGAAGTGTTTTCACTATTTAGTGCTCAGTGTTTCAGAACTGTATCTGGAAGCCAAAATGGGAATAAAAAGCTGCATAAATAAATTCATCTCACAGAGCTCTCTGGAAAGTGAGCTGGATCTGATTTTCTTCTTGTCCACCAGCAGAATTGCTTGCAGACCTGCCGTGGACAAGTCAAATCCTTTACTTGCATAAAACAAGGTGATTACATATTTGCCTTCAGGTGTATAGACTTTCAAAACCTCTTTTTAATGTCACATTTATCAACAGTATTCATTTTAGCTTTCATATGGTGAACTGACTATACAAGGTATGCCCTCAGAAGTTGAGATGGCTTTTTTTTTTTTTTTTTTTCTAACCCGGTGCTTGGGAAATTTAAGAGGTGAAAGTATTCCTTGGTGCATTTTTTGGTGCAACTAAAGTGTGCTTTCATTAGTAGAAGTACATGACTGGAGTATATTTTTTGTTAAAAGTCAAATGAGATCTGAATATTGACATTTGTAACAGAAGTCAAACACAACGTTAGGTGTTTGCTTCTTTCTAAACAGATCTGGCCTATGTATGTGGCTGGAGAAGATAACAAAGAAATAGTATTACTAAAGAAAATGATCCCCTGTTTTGTTTTGTAGGCAAATAGGTCAGTATTATTCATAGAATGAAAAAAGCTGCATGTGCTTTGGAAAGACAAGGACCTTCGATACTCAGGGTTAGGGAAAAATGGCTTGGACTATTTTTGTTTCTTTCCCAATGGAAGCTACTAATGCAGTGCACTGAGATTTACAGTTATTGCTTCCTAAATATTTTTTCCATAAGATCCAAGGAAAAAAGATTGCAGAGGGAGTTTGTAGCTCTGGTGCTGCAGATGTGTATATATAATATTCCTGGGAGTAAAATTCCTAGAGGATCAAGCTCTAGTACCACAAGTTGTTTTCTGAGTCTTACAGCAAAGTTTTAAAATCATGCTATAAAATGTTCTCATAGGAAATAAAAAACTGTGCGCCTGAAACGTAAAAACCTAATTGCAAACACTTGACATTTATCATAGCTATCTCTACTGGAAAAGAATATTACAGAATTAACACTTAAACATGATTTCCAGAATAATTTTGTATTTCATTGTTTCCTCAAAACAGTCATAAGAATTTTGGACTGGAGCTTGAGAGAAAAATAGAAGTAAATATGTATAATATGTTATACTATATTTAGAAGGCTATGTACTATGGATTTGTTGCTATATGCTCAAAGTTAAAACTGAGCATTTATTATTGAATTGTGAAAATGGCAAAGATCTGTAATATTTTGAACTAATGTGATGGCTTTGTTAAAAGCCTTTGTTTAAAGTTGACTGCGCAAGAATCAAATGTCTGTCTCCAATCGAAATCTCTTTATTAATTGACATCAGTTTCTTGTCTTTTTTTTTTTTTCCTTTTCTATCTGTGTGTCATAGTCAAGGACAACAGGTTTTAAAACTCTATGCAGATATTTATCTTTACATCCTATTCTTTGGTGGTGACTTATTACTGTTTGAGAGCTACAGGTAAAACTGTCAATTAATGGCAGGTTGTTGTTTTGGAGATGTATGTTTTGTTGTTGTTTTCTGCTGTTTTTACAATGTTTGTTTACATTGTTCATCAACAGAACTTACCTGATGTAAACAGATTTTAGGATTTCAGGAAGGTAACCTAGCACAAGAATAGATGTTTTGAAATCCTGAAATCTAAATAATCTTGCTGCTTCCAGTAAATTGTTGTGTATGTTTTGCTATTTACAAAACTCCACAATAGCAAATTACATAGGTCACTCCGAAATTAATGCTTCCTATTTATTTCCATGGAAACTGCAACAGTTATAAAAAGCACAATAGCACCATTTAATAGAGCAAATTCTCAGCTGCAAAGCACTGTTATTTAACATAGTCACCACCATTAGATATGTACTCATCAGTGATGGTCAAGAGCCTGCACACTACACTTATAAAAATCTGCATCAGCAGAGGTAACGCATGGTCGCTGCTGCCACTACTGAAATGCACCACCTTGTGCCTCACTGTGCTCATCTCCCCTGGTGGGTCTCTGTAAATGTTCAGCAAGCATCCATGATTGTCAGTGGGTGCCATTTTTTCTGCATGGAAGAGTTCAGTGGCACTCCTTTGCTTCATAGGCATCTTCCATGTCAGGATCCATTATGTCAAACTGCTCCTCCACTGCCATCTCTTGCATGGCAACAGCATGGAATGAGATATTAGAGGGAAGGTTCAACCTCTTCTGCCATCACACCAACATCATCTGCCTCTGATGTTGCTGGCTGATGTAATAAAATAGGAGGTATTACTTTTGGAACAGCCCTCATACATTAAACACATGGTTAATCTTTAAGTTGCAAGTATATAATTTTGTATGTCTTGTAGCTCATATTTTTCTCTAGACATTTTGGGGTAACAAAAGGATGTGTTCGTTTCCAGTTAGGAAAAAATGGTATCAATATGATAAGGTGAATTTTGGCATGGATTGTTCTAATATTTGCCAGGTCAGTTTTGAACACCTCTAGTACATCAAAATAATGAGATGTGTATTAAAGAATTTATCTGGAGTAACTTTCTATGAAATGATAGTTCTCTCCGCATCTGGTATGTTATTGGTTGAGATGTTATAAATATATGAATGATAGAAATAATTTTGCAAAATGTTTGCAGTCTTCACTGGTTATGATGTTTTTTGGTATGAACAGCTTAATCAAGAGTTGTAATCCAAATATCCAACGACACTGTTCTAAAACATATTTAATGGTTTGATTATCCACAGAATCCTTGCCGTATTCATGCTGTGTAACAACAGAATAGGGAAGTTATTTCTGCTATTAAGCATTTTAAGAGACCTTGGATAGAGCTCTATATTGCCTCATCGTGTAAGGAATGAAAAATTTCATTTTTTGATATAGAAGGAGCAACCTCAGGCTTAATTAATTAATTGTTAAGGAGATATTTGATGCATAAATAAATATGTGAGTAGGGGTGATCAACAACTTGAATCCATAAAATATTTGGTCACATAATATTTTACCTACCACTTTTTCAGCTGCACAGCTTTGTTGTGTTACAGAGATAAAAGCTGCGTTATTTTAAGTGAAAAGCAATTACTTTGCTTTGAAGAAAGTGATTCTTTGATAAAGAATCAAGGAATGGATTCAATACTCTTATTCTTATGCTCAGTTACTTTCCTGACACCCTACAACCAGGAGCACTGGTTGAGAAACGCATTTTATTTCCTGGAAAAGGCCAGGAAAAAAACATCACTGCTATGACCACTCAATAACTGCTGCCAGAATGAAATCTTTAACAGGCGTTTTTGGTTTTTTTTTAAAATTATTACTATTAATGGTGTAGTTTTGAGTATTTTTGTTGCTGTTATTATTAGGGCAATAAAAACAGGATTCTGAGTGATAGAAATGTGTGCTGTTCTGCTTGTTTTCATAGACAGAGATATCAGTGCGAGCCTTCCCAAGGACAGAAGACAAGTTTTCAAGCTCTTTGGTTGGTTGATTTCTGGTTAGTCCTACCCCAGGGCCTTACATAAATGCCTTTGTGTAGGACTGGATTTGCATAAACGGAGGGGCATTAACTGCATCCTTACTCTGTTCTTTGCACTGACTCTACAGGATTGGGGTGATGAGAATTTAGACTTCAAGGAATATTGCAAAGTATTTTGTTCTGTTTCATGTTATCACCTGAGTGAAGGTTGTCAAGTTCTAAGAAAAGCAGACATGAGTTTGTCTTCAAGAAGAGTGACGTTGCCTGCAGTAATGCCAATAACTCTGCAGAAACGGGTATGGCATTTAAATCAATCTTGTAACTCTCTTTAGTATGGGTTGATATTGCATTTGCTTAGAGTAAATTAAATAAATATGCTTACATTTAATTTTTATGTTATTTTCCTTGTGTAGTAAAAATTTTTGTTTTCTGATAAATGGAAATTTTTTAATTTCATTACTTAAAATATTTTTTGTGTGCACACAGACGTGTTTATGTATATTTGTTACTGTGCTTTTTTTTGCTGTTACAATTATAATTTCTTTATGAAAGAAATTTATTTTGATCACATCCTTATATAATTTTTAAATATAATGTGTCAACTGCATTTCAGAATATTGAAACAAGCCTCTTTAATATGATACAGTAGTTATCTCAATAAAAGCTGATTGGAGTCCACTTATATAGGCTTCGAATCAGCTTTAAATGCAGCATGATTTTTTTTCACCGTTTCCGGCTAGCATCTTACTGGTGTGTGGTTCATCACGTACTCTGGGAATCAAGGTAACACTGTACAGTGTTTTGTAGTAACCACTGTGGTTTTTTTGTGTGTTTTTTGTTTGTTTGTTTGTTTGTTTTTGTTTTGTTTTAATCTTACTCAAATGTGGAAACAATATAAAGTCTTTTTGGCTGTGTCCACTGGGTTTGCCCAGAGTAATTCAGTACATTGACAATAACTGTAAAGGTAAAAATACACGTGAACTATGGAAATATACGTCACCACTAAGCCACTTATATTAACTTCAATAAAGTTAGTTCAGATTAACTATAAGTCATTTGTTAGTTTGATTTATTTTGTTAAAGTGTAGATACCTTTCACGAGTTCATTGCTGCATAATGTGCTCGGATCACTGTTAAAAGACTCTTCTGTTATGCGGAGGCATTTGATATACCAGTGGTGTGAGGAATGAAATTTCACTGAAATAGTGCTATGGTATTAAATGGTACTCTTAAGCAATTCACACAGGATGCAGCATATACTTCTTATGGCTTGAGTCCAGTGAGTCTAGAGCAGTATATGAATGCATAGCTCTTACTGATTTAGGATTTATGTTAGTCTGTCTGATTACTTTATTGTTTGGGTTGCAAGGGAAGCCTGTGGAAACACAGTCTTAGCATATTTGTTTTGTAAAGATTAGGTTATACTGCTAGCTTAATTATGTGATCATAAACTACTTTTCAAGTTCAGACATGTGCAAGATGTGTATCTCTTAGACTCTACAAAAAAAAAAATAAAAAAATAAAAAAAGTTATTTGAAGTTTGACTTTCCAGCACTCATTCTCCCAGTTGTGTGGTTCCCTTCACTTCCTTTTTCCCTGCCTCCCAGTGCTCCTGTCCCTGTCTCAAATCTTCAGTTGTCTTAATTTTTTTATTTCCAGCTGTTACAGGGTTATCAGTATGTTAGGGGCTGAAGGTTTTTGTTGTTGAAGTGTTGTACTGGAAGGTTGTATTGGACTCCTCTGGAATGCTTAGAGATGCATATGGTGCTGTGTGGGAGGGAAGAGGTGTGTAACTTTTGTTCAGTTTAACATTTGGAAGGCTAGGAAACTCAGTTGTAACTGTATTGTATATTTTCCTTCTTTTGCTTTTAAGAGCTGAGCATCATTCTCTGAGCAATACTAAAATTTTTTCTTTACTGAGGCACAGTGACTAAGTTTTCTGCACATTCTCTCTGATTTTAAAACAAATATTTTCACACTGTTGTTAAATTAGCAGTCAGTAATTATTGACTTCTCTCTTTCTGTGCACTTTGCAAGCCCAAAATAAAGCTTATGGAGGTGGGAGGAGGAAGCAGCAGAGGATGTTGCATTAGGTGGGTAGCTATTGGATTGCATAGCTGCAAAAAAGTTCTGAGAGATCTGTATGCTCACTGAGAGCTCATTGTATGCCAAATTTGTGACCTGATTTGCTGTGATGTTTATATCTTTGTCTATAGAATTCTTCCTAAATGTGTCTCTTCTCTCTATTCAGAAGATCATTTTTGTTATTTCTATAGCACTAACTTAATTTCTGGAGAAGAAATACTACAGGGAAAAAAGGAGGGCAGGCAGCAGGCAACAAAGAGTCTTGCTTGTAAGGGTAATACGTGTGTATGTGTGCAGATACATTTATCATGGGCATGAGAAACGTAGAGATCTAATTCAGTCATAATCTCTTATCCTAATACACAGGATCTTCATGTTGACTGTGCTGAGCTCTCCCTTTAAATAGTATTTCTGTTAACTGAAATTGGTCACCTTCTACAGAAAGTACTACAACTTCTGTTTTTTATGATGCGAAAGTACCTGGCAATTGCCAGTCTGGAAGTGTTATGGTAGCACTGCATAGTTGTGAGAAACTTCAGCATTAATTCATAAAATACTATTTTAGGCCACTGATCATTCAAAATTATTATTACTTTAATTTAGGCATTAATGTTTGTGTAAGAACTCTTGTTTAATTATGGTACTGGAGATTATTTTTTTTTCTCCTACACAGAAGGTGATATTTTTCATTATTAATATGACAGTATGGCTGCTCCACCACTTCGCTGAATAAATGTTTTTTCCTCATTTTCATTCCAAATAAGTAATATCCTTTGTCCAATTTATTTTTCATGCTTTCTGTTTTAAAATTTGATAGGAAGTACTTATCACAGTTGGTATGGTGTTTTTTTTCTTGAATAATGTATTTTTAACTAAAGCTACAGAGCCTCATTTAGATTCCAAGAATCCTTTAGCGCAGACAGAAAAATGACTTGATTAGAAAGCATGGGGAATTATGCCTATTGAATATTATTATAATCAGATTTATAGTGAGTATATGGACTAAACTACACATATAATTAATTTAACACAGCTGAAAGTTTCTTTAATCTTTTTTTTTTGTTTTGTGAATAACGTTATACTCCTCCAAAAATGTTTTTAAGACATTACATTTGAAAGATCATAATGTTTTCAGCACATTGTTTTACAGCCTGTTACAAACCAGTTATTTATTAAAGACAAACATCTGCAGAAGTGCTATATATGTTGATAAGTAAAAGAGTACTTATACACCTGATATTGGATGCAAAGTGTAAGAACGGAGTTACGGGTTGTTTTTCACAGCAGCTGGGAACTTTGTAGTGCACAAATGTGAAACAGTTACTGTGTACTCAGGATGAATATTTTCCAGTGATCCTTGAAGAGATTACATTGTTTCTCTTAAATGGAAGAAATGTTTCTTTTGAAAGAAATATTAGATTGAGTGATTAGAAGAATAAATTGAGTATTAAAAGAATGATTAGAAAAGGAAAATATATTTTAGATTGCATGCTGGCCAATGTGCTAATCTGGAAATCTTACTAAAGGCAATTTAAGTGACATGATAATGGTGTCATTAAATGGATAGCTTTTACAGATACCTGGAAACAGACAAAGCATTCATGTATGAAGCATCTCTTTATAAGGATAGTTTGAAAAATAGTCATTTAAAGATATATAAACACCAACCATGCCCTCTTTTGCCTTTTGTACAGTATAATAAGATGAAGAGCAACATCCTGCAATGATTTGAAATCCCATGAGAAATATGAGAAATAGGCTGCATTTTATTTAGGGAGATCTGGAATTCCCGCTTCCTCTTGATAATATTAAATACTTGGTGAAACTGTTTTCAAGGTGTCTACTTAGAATCATAGAATCATAGAATCCTTAGAGCTGGAGGGGATCTGTGAGAGCCATCTAGTCCAACTTCCCTGCAGTGAACAGGGACACCACAGCTACATCAGGCTGCCCAGGGCCTTATCCAGCTTTGTCTTGAAAGTCTCCAGGGAAACTTCTTTCCTCAGAAACTTGTTAGATGGAGTATCCAAATATCGTGCTAGATATGAATGGATGAATTGCCTAGAATTCAGTCCTCTTTCTTACTGCACTTGCAGATTTTAAGTTATCTGCTCATGGTGGAGGTTGGCATGACTATAGAGATTGTTTGTGGATGATATGGAAGAAGGAGGGTGGCAGATTTGCATTTTCACTTTGTGGGAGAGGTCTTGTTAGGTCCAGGTAATGTTTAGGAAAGAGCTACTGACAGGACCTCCTTAGGAGGAAGATAATGCAGGATTTTTTTTCCTCCGTAAGGAGGATTTTAGCCAAAATCCTCTTAATCCAGTGCTCTACTGTTTATACTCAGTCATCTAAAAATGGATTCTGGTATGACAACCGTATACCACGTGGCCTGTCACAGTAAATGCTTCTACAAACATGAAACCATTATAGTTTCCTACCATTTTTATTGTGTATCAAAATGATCTCACAGCATATAAATAACATCAAAATTACACTAACTGTATGGAGATGGGGGATGTGAGATTTTTTTGTTCTGTCCTGTGTTGTTCCAGTCTCTATAAGCAGTCTAATTTTATATAATATTTTGTATACAAAACTGTCGATTATCGAACTTACGGAACTTAAAATATATAGCATGTATATAGTGTTGTGTAGTTGCCATGAAAGGTAGTGGGGATGTTTGCATATGTGTGTATGAATGTGAGTAATGACTGTGCAGAGATTTTTAGAAAGTCTTTTAAAAACTCAAAAGCTTAATGTACTTGGTCATTACTTGTCCCTTGTATAGTTTGACAAGGTTTAGTGCACAATTAATGTTGCAGTCTTCTCTCTTCATTTTTTGAACAGATCGTTGATGTGTTTTTTTGTTTCTTCTTGCCTTCTTTGAACATCTAGCAACCTTCATAGAGTAACCAAGGAAATTGGCTGTGTTTAGTGGCCTACTCTGCTCAAAATCCTTTTCTGCTGGCAGAAATCCTTTGGAAAAAAGCAGCTTTTTCATCAGTTGAAAAAAGTGCTTGGCCATTTTCTAGCCGCAGTACTTTATTCTCCTCTGGAATAAATTAGGCTTGAAGAAGTCAGAACTTAACCTTCAGATTGTTATCGAGCCTTGAAGAATATCATGAGCGTTTCTAAATAGTTATTTCAACTTGTAGTAAATCCCTTACTTATCATGCTACGTTGCTTTGTATGAAGCGAGAAGCTGGTG